ATTCTACCTTTGTTTGGGTCATTTACAAATCTTAGGTTCCAACACATTTTTCCCCACAAGGATCCACATAAACAAATTTCCATCTCGTACTTGTTTTGAAGCTGAAAATTTGTAAGCTCCCTAGCTTTGCAAGAGCCTTGCACTAGCCCTAGCTCCCCTCACTTGCAATCTATCCAAGATCTCCACCTTTGCTAAATTTGCTAATGTACGACCAACCGCCGAGGAAAGAACAAGAATAACGAAAATAAGGAATAAGCCACACAAAACGAAATAAAATAAACCCTAAATATTCAAAACTAAGATTATCAATTTTCAATTCATTGAAAGCTAACAAACCCACCTGCATAAAAGCCTACTTATAGGAAACCAAAAAACCCTAATAACAGTTTCCACAAATAAAAAATCCTCACTAAACACAAAACACCTTGACATTAAATTAAGAAAATCATTCTCTAATCTTCATCCAACTCCTTTTCTATCTGCATCATCTCAAAATACCTTCACCACTTCTCAAATCTTTCATAAGAAACTCCCAAATACCAGATTGGCCCTGCAATCATTTTGAGAACACAAGATGAAATCTCCAATCATTCTCTAATCTTCATCCAACTCCTTTTATATCCACACTACACTGCCACTAGTTTATTTCCCCTTTCCAAACTAGGAATGCTATGGGTGAGTAGTCAACTGGAATCATCACACACTTTCCTCTAAAACATTAATTGTTTCAGTGAATCAATCCCAGTGGCTTTTCATATCAGATATACAACATAGGGAGAAGAAGAGGTATTGTATTATTCTTCCATGTCCGTTTACAATGCTTGTTGCTCCAAATTATAAAAGAAAATACCCTAAAAGATACGTAACACAATTTACCAAAAAAAAGAACTGCCAAAATACACATCCCTTTCACACCCTCTCTCCCTTCAAAACACATGATGTAAGCCTGGTGAATATTGAGAGTGTCAAGTAAGATGCGGAAGAGAGCAAACATACGAGTCTTGGTGGCAAAGCAATGGTATTGAGCTGAATGTGCTAACGAATAAAATAGCATTCAATCTTGACATGCATCGTGTGCTCGTGAAACAAAGAATTGCGTGCAATCTGGATGTACTCTTGTTTGTCACAATATAGAAAAGTAGGAGAAGAAAAAAGCCAACAAGCCGAACACTCTTAGTTGTAGCATCAGCCAAAGCATTACAATTAACCTCATTAGAAAACCAAGCAATAACAAACTGTTTCTTGCTTTCCCAGGAAATGAAATAGTCATCAAAACCCAAAAAGCAGAGGTGGACTTGTGATGAAACACATCAGGAGCCCTTGTTTTATTCTAGAAGAAGCGAGGATTCATGCATTGATTATCAGCCGCTCAACAAGATAACCTAACCATTCACTAGCCCAATCAATATCAACAAGCCGTAAGTGTCAAAGTGGAATAAAAAAAGAGCAATAAACGCTAGAAGATAGTACCACGGACATGTCGCAGTATTTGTAACGAGGTAACCCAATGAGTAAATCGAGATATAAAGACAAGCTGACTAACCAACTGAATAGCTTATGCAATGTCAGGGAGAGTAACAGACCAAACAACCAATTAACTCAAGATACAAGGTAGGATCATCGAAGGGAACATTACCAGAATAGAAATTTTGCACGTAGCTCAATAGGAGTAATAATGACCATAACATCAATGAGTTAAGAAAGATGGATGATCACAGTAGCATACTTGAACTAAGACAAAAGTGATCCCTTGAGAGAGAAAGCAACTTCAATACCAAGAAAATAAGATAGAAGAGCCCCAAGTCTTTCATCTCAAACTATGTTACATAGACTCAGCAAAAGTATTTGAAACAGATACGTGTCGGATTCTCCATTTTCTCTGAATATTACCATCAAGAAAGCTATTCAGTTTTTCATGAACACTTATCCCAAGAGAACACAAAGATTGGAGTGAGCACTGAGCTTGGTACGCTCCCATTTAGAAAGATTTAACAAAATAAAGAGAACTAAAGACATGTAATAGAGAATAATTTGCAACTTGACCAAACAACCTTTCATATTGGGAAACACCCAAGAGCAAAGGAAAAGCCATACAGCTAAAAAAAATAGGCGGTTAAAGAACAGCCTCAACCCCAAAAACAGCACGAACAGAGGAAGAGGGAATGAGAGACCTGATATTAAGGTTGTTTCTAGTTTCTATGCTTTTGCTTCTCTCTACCAATTTGTGTTGGAGTATTCGAACAAGAAGATTGATGGATAGCACTAGACGCAATTAAGAAGTCTATAAATTAAGAAAATACTCACCACCCAAGTCGGAACAAAAAACATTTATGTTTGTAGAAAACTGAGTTTGAATCATGAAATAAAAAGATAAATGCAAAAAAATAAGAACACCATGCCCGTAACACTCCCCTTTCTCCCCCCTCAAGAGCTTGTAGCACATTCTCATGCTCCTTCCACCAAGTGATTGATATCAATGACGCATCTCTTTCTCCCCCTCCTAAGCTTGTCGCGGTTAACATGCTCCACCCCCCTCCCTGTTGCTCTTGAAATAGAATAGTTGGGCTAGTCTCCAAATCTGCAAATCTCCTGTGAATTGGCTGCTAGCAGGCTTTATCATCCGCGAGACGCTATGCAAGTAATACTTTGAAGGGAAAATAGGACAAAAGAAGGCAACTATGCAGCCCCCAAGTGAACACCCTCACAATGAAAGGATTTTTTTAGAACCCATTTGGAGCAAACTTCATGTCAACCTTCCCGTTCTACTCTTCGTCCTTTTCAATCTTCATACAGACGTAACATTAAGTTCAAGTGTTTTAATTGTCAAGATTTTGGATGTCAAGATAGAGATTTCCCTTATGTCAAGACTAAATGAGTTGCTATGTTTGAAAGTGAAGAAAACATGGGGGTACAAGAATTTTAGAAAACAAAGCTTCATGAACAACTTTGTTGAACTCCTTCATCCCAAATACGATGAGGATCTCCAACATGGGGTGATTCGAATTATTTGGCCATTGCTTGCTCTACTAGTAAGGAAGACAAGAAGCCCAAAAAGTGGTAACATTGACAAAATTTTCAAACTACTGGTGATTGATCCAGGAAGTTGCACAAATATTGTGGTTGAAGATACTGTGAAGAAATTGATTTGACAGTTGAGATACATCCCAAGCCATATGTGGTATGGATCACCAATACCAAACTTAAGGTCAACAGACAGTGCCTCTTGACGTTCAACACCGGCAAACTAAAAGAGATGGAATGTGCCATGTTTTGCCTCTTAATCACCATCACATTTTTTGGGGACGTATATGGCTTTGGAATTGCGATGTTTCACATGCTGGACATGCCAACACCTACTCTTTCAATGATAGCTTTATAAGATATACCATTGCTAGTGCTAGCAACTCCAAAGTCTTTAAATTGAGCAAGAACTCTTTGTTGCTTACAAGAGTTCCTCCCTCCGATGGAATGCTTGAACATGCTCTTGCCAAGCTAGAGTCGACTTCTTTTCAGCAGAGGATAATTGATGGCACAACCTTTGACTATTTGGCAGCCTGTTAATGGATTTGGAAGCCTAAAGTGATAAATGTAATTGGTGGAATATAATTATTAGTTTTTAGTTAGATTTAATTACATAATATTAGTATGTGATGTTAATACTATTTTATAAAAAAATTATGCTAGTTTCCTAATTGAATTAGGATTTTGGCCTATCTATATTAGGCATTTGACATTGTAATGGTCATCTGAGTTAATATAATTGACAGAATTTTTTTTTTTTTGATAAATAATAAAACTTTATTGAAAAAGTATCACGATGATGCAAAGAATACAAGGAAACCAGAAAAAAGAAAACTAAACACGCCTAACCAATTACATCATCCAAAAAATCTAAGAAATCAAACAAATCCGGATCAACTCTACTCTCCAACCAACTATACATAGTAACTAAAAGCCGATTCACAAGCCACGACACAAAATGATAAATCTCTTGAAAATTTCGCCTATTCCGCTCCAACCAAACCAACCACATCAAATAAAACGGCACCAACGATCACACCCGTCACCGATGTCGCAACCAGAGCCCCCCTCCAACTTCATAGCATATCCAAAACCCCCCTCGGCTGCACCCAAACAATCCCAAAAAGAGAACAAATAAGCCCCCAAAGACACGAAGCTACGGAACAATAAAGAAATAAATGATCAACCGACTCCACATCAACACAACACATACAACACTGATTCATTATCACATGCCCTCGACAAACCAAATAATCAATAGTAAGATTCCGACCTAAAGCAGCCGTCCATAGGAAGAAAACCACCTTAGAAGGAACTCAAGGCACCTAAATACTCTTCCAAGGAAACGCACCAACCACCTCCCCCACCAAACTTCAATAAAAAGACCAAACAAAACTTATACTTGCTACCTTTACATGTTTTCTACTTGGAAATGGAAAATCATTCAATTCAACATTTCAAGTTCATTTAAAACCTAGGCTATAATTTTTGGGGACACTAAAAATAAAAATAAAAACAAAAAACTTCTTGTAACAAAATAAAAAGTTTGAAGTTTTAAAAATTTAAACCCGAAATTTTTAATTTGTTTTCAATCCAAACCACAAGTGTATTTCCATTAAGTAAAACCGACTGAAAAAGAATATCTTAGTCATTAAACTCAATGTAGGTGTACATAAAATGTCTAAAATACCATTTTTCATCAAGCTTAATAACTAAAATACAATTTTTTTCCATTGCTTTTACTTAACGGAAATAGGTTTCCGGTTAAATTGAAAACAAATCAAAAGTTTAGGGTTTAAATTGAGAAAATTAAAAATTCAAGGTTTATTTTGTTACAAGGGTCAAACCCTAGGTTTTTCTTCTTTTTTTCTTTTTTTTTTTGTTGTAACTTTTTTTTTTTATAACAATTTTTGGATTAGAAGCTAAGATAGATGGTAGAGGTCTACTATGCATATTTAAACAAGGGACAGCACAATAACCTTTGCAATGACTTCAGTACTTAAAGCTTTGGCCTGAGCAGCGCATTTATTCACGAGACTCTTGAATTCCAAGTGGTCAACGTAATTTTTCATCCTCACCTGCCAAGGCATCACCAAAAAAAAAATTATTATACAAACATATAGATTGGCATATTTAACAAAGGGTTTTGTTAACAAGTGTCCTTAGGATTAAATCCACTCAACAACCTCCACTACCATAGAAAATATAAAACACTATAAATACATCTTACTTGTAGACTAAACTACCCCTTTTTTCCAATTTCATATATTTTAACATTATATACTTTTCAAAATAGCGTTTTTTTTTTAATATTTTTTTTATCATAAAGGTGTCCTTTATTTTTAAATCACATTTCGTAGTTTCTTTTTTTTTTATTTAACCTTAGAACCATAATATGCAATGGTGATATTGAATGACAATGCTGTTGCATTTATTTTTAAATAACTTCATATTCCTTTGTTGATAGATCTTATAAATTTCTTCTTATACTTGTTATAATTTTTAAATTCATTTTTTAACCATATAATTTAATTATGATTGAAAATAAATATTATTTAAATTTTTTTTTAAAAAAAACTCTGAAAAGTTTTTAACCATATAATTTACTTTTATGAATAAAGAAAATGTTTTAAAAAATATATATATTTTGAGAAGTATAGAATGTTAAAATATATGAAATTGGAAAAAAATGGTAGTTTACGCCACAAGCAAAATGTATTTATAGTGTTCTATATTTTATATGGTAGTGGAGGTTGTTGAGTGGATTTAATGCATCAAAACCCTTTAACAAATTGTGTGGAAATTCTGTTAAGAGAATTACCTCCGCGATTCCCTTGGTTAAACGAGAAAGTTCTTCAGAATAATCCTTGGTGATTGCCTCCAATATGCTATCGCCCTGGCTCGAAATCAAAATTATTCGTAAAAAATTGTAGTAGTATTAGTAGTATCGTATTGCTCTAGCTCGAAATCAAAACTAGTAAGTAAAAAGTAGTAGACTACACATCCAAAACAGGTTTCTGTTTTGCTCCCACATGGTCTTGTGCAAACTTTTATTCCACCATGCAACTTCTAAAAAATTACGGTAAAAAATCAACTGCCGGACTTGTATCAATTAAAAAAAAGGCTCTATAACCATTAGTAAAGAAATTAAGATACTAAATGAACCCATATATAAAAACAACTTATCTTAACTTTAAAAATAAGATCAAATCTTTACGTCTTACCTCAGACATGTTGCCAACGCTAATATCCAAATTATCATTCAACTTATGAAGGAGGGAGAAATGTTCCTACAAAAATAATAATACTAATAATAAAATTCAGATCGCATACCAATAAATGATGATGAAAAGCGAACCCACAATAAATATGCCTGAAAGGCTAAAATGGAGTGCCAAAATTGAAATTTGATCAAGATCTCTTTCTACCAAAAATGTCGGCAAGTGTACAGACAAGGAAAGTTTTTTCAGGCTTCTGCTTACCCATTCAACACCAAATGAGATAGCTAAATAGAAACCTCATTCTGACGCTATCCATGGGATCACAGTTTGGAACCCATTCAACAACAGAAAATGAAAAGCAATCCCACTATTAATAAAATCTATCACTTCTCCAAATACGACTAATGGCTATTCCCAATACTTGAACGCTATTAACATGAGAATATTGTTACTTCTAATGGACACCTAGTAAGGAACTACAAATTCCTTAATTTCCATTCATTCCAAATTTAAACCAAACATGGGACAGTCCATGAGTTAAATTGGAAATGAATAGTAATAGAAATCCATGACAATGGAGTAAAACAGAAAAATAAGTAAGTAAAATGAGAGTAGACTTACAATCAAAGCAGTCTTAAGACTGACATCGGAGAATTCGGACCATTTCTTCTCTGACTTAAGTCTTTGAAATATTTCATCAAAATCACTGTCCCACTGAAACATAAAAGAATAATTACAAACCAACATGCATACAACATAAAGCTTAAATCAAAGAGAGTTGTTTAAGAACATAATGCCAAAAGATTGACCACACCTCTATAAAATCACATTTGGCAAGGATTTTTCTGCATGCATAATTTTTGTGAACGTAATGCAATTCCCTTAAGTATGAGGTATAACGCTGCAAAACCACATATATATTATTAAACCAAATTAGCACACATGGACACATCCTAACTAATTAAAAGTTCAGGTGATGGAGTTATTAAAAAAGTTCAAGGAAAATCTTAAAGATTGGTTTGATTTACAAACATTGACCACGTCGGACCACACATAATCTCGATTTGGACTCCATTTGAGTCCAACTTTATTATCCATACATATTATTAGAAAAAAAAACATCCATACACCATGTGCTTGTCAAACCAAATTACCATGTGATGGTAACAAATTATAATTCCTGCAACAGTCTTACTTTTTGACAATTATATTGTGAGAGAGAAAGAGTTTTAATTTCTTGAATATCCATTTTGACTTACACACATGAATGGACACATCCTATCTAGTTAAAACTTCATGCGATGAAGTTATTAAGAAACTCAAGGAAAATCTTAATTTGTTTAAAAACATTGAACACGTGGGACCGCACATACTCTTGATACGGATTCCACTCGAGTCCTACATTATGTTCATTAATTCAGAAAATGTTGTTAAGCTTCTTTTAACTATTATTATGTTTCACACTTCAAAATTAAGTTGACAATTCTAAGTTTTGTAAACATTTTTTTTTCTGTGTTGACTTCAATAGTTATACATACAAGCCAAGTGCAACTACAACCCACTAGACAACAAGCTAAAATGAGATGTGTCTGTGCTTCATAGCTTGCGATCAATTGGGTGTGTTCCAAAGAGATGTTCTAGGACTTTTGCGAGGAATGTGTGTAGATAGAGAAGGCAAGCATACACGAAAAGCTTGCCTTTTGGCTCCATTACATTTGTTGTCAATCACTTTAGGCAAAAGAAATAATAATTTCAAGGGATCTAGGAGCCTTTTGAATAGACAGAATAAAAGCTCCGTTTTGGTTTTCTTGCATTTTTAACCTATGTTACCTGAAACGTGGATTGTTTTGGCTCATGGAACGGGAATGGGCATAGGAACCAGAATGTAGTACGTCATATGTTTTAAAATGTTGAATGATAGAGGTAGACTTCAATAGATTATACTTCTAGAATTTAAAGTAGTAGAGCAATTTTCTTTTAAATAAGCTAAAAAGAGCTAACTATTGGGAAACAAGGGAAGCAGTGATTTTGGCTTCTACTTTATGATTATTAGCCTTTAGTTTGCAAGAAGTAACACAAAAAAGACCTTCTATAGTTATTCCCTAAGAAGCACAGACACTTCTAAGAAGGTGACGTATCCGTGTCGTGTCCGTGTCGGACACCAACACTCTTTGGACACTCTTAGGACACGTGTCCGATACTCTTCAAAACGTGTCCTATTTTTTAAATATTTTTAAAGACCCGGACGCTCTTTGGACACTTGGAGGACACACGTGTCAATTGTTTAAACACCTGCGTCTATTGATTATACATATGTGAAACTAATTATAAGTTTGAACAAAACAACTTAAGATACAATAATAAAACAAAAATCATATAAATTTATAGGAAATAGTGCTATATTGCATTTTTTATTATCTTTGAATGATATATTCATATATATAATATATAATAAATATATAAAATTATATATTTCATGCATGTCCTCCACGTGTCGTGTCCTGCATTTTTTTAAAATTAACGTGTCGGCGTGTTCGTATCGTATTCGTGTCGTGTCACGTGTCCGTGTCCGTGCTTCTTAGGTTATTCCCCTATAAAAGTGGGCTTTTTTAGAGTTTCCTCCCAATTGATTGCTTCTATTTTGATGACATTGGTTTAGTTGATTGATTGACTTATAATTTGAAGGATTGATTAAATTGATAAAAAATGAATTAATCACTTGGTAGTTTGAAATATTCACCCCTCCCTCTTGCATCAACCCTAACTGCCCTCACAATTTTAATTGGTATCAGAGCCTAAGTTACTCTTTGGAGATTAACCGCTTGAGTAGCTCCTTTTAATTGATCCTCTGTAGATGGCCTCCAAGAAAGAAGAGGTTTCCGTGACTTGACCCCAGTGGTTTGATGAGAATAATTACCCATATTGGAAGGCTAAAATGAAGTACTTCCTCAAGTCCCTTGATGAGCATGTTTGGCTCTCCATTGAATATAGATTTGAGCAACCGTATGTGATTGACTTCACCACAAATAAATGAATAAAAGTTACAAACTCACACACAATAGGATAAGACCCATATTGACAGCATGGGCTACAACTCCAAGGCATTGTATGCCATTTTCAGTGTCGTTACAATTAGAAGGTGTAGGCACATCCCGAACTGTGAGATTGCAAAAGATGCTTACGGCATTTTGAAGATTACTCATGAAGAAACCAAAACAATGAAAAAACTGAAACTGTTACAAATTCCATGCTAGACTGGGATTTATCAACAAAAAAAAAATAAAGAAAAAAAAATCCATGATAGACTGGGTAGCATAGTCAATGTTCCATTTAGTCTTGGGAGTCAATTAGTGAAGCAAAACTTGGTAAGAAAGCTGTTGCATCATTTCATGGATATAGATTAAGCTTTAGTGTGTTAGGTTTGGTGCTTGTGGGGTGTCTCTTTCTAAAAGATATAGGGCCAAGATCACCGCAATATAAGAAAGCAAGAATCTTAACAACATGAAGATAGACGAACTTATAGGATCTCTTCAAACCTATCAATTAACATATCTCCAAGGAAAGCTAGTGGTAGCTCAAGTAGAGCCACAGCTTGCAAGGCTAGAAAGGATGAGAGTGTTGGTTCTAAAGATGAGATGAAATAGGTGATGAATATCTAGCCCTCTTTGCTAAGAAGTTCAAGAAGCTATCTGTATTACCATTTTGGCGGCAAACAGAACTGTACATAAGCATTTCATGGACAGTTTCAAATATTTGATATTCGGATTTGCCATCAATATTCCAAGAGGAAATGCCATTACCATGATAAGATTTTTGATCATGAAGAAAGTCTTCTTCATATAAGATATCTTGTGGAGTCGAACGAGGATAATAATAACGATCTGGTCCTAATTTAGAATGAGCTTGTTTATCATGGGTAAAATATGTTTTATTTATAGAATCCGAGTGATCCTGAAAATTTTTCTAGATTTGAAAAACATGATCAATATCTGCTTCAGTAGAGGGAAGTTCGGTAGAGTCTAAGACATTTAGAGAGAAAGATCCTCCAATATGCAAATTTATCATTTTGCTAAATAGAGAATTAGCAAATTCTTCACTTTTAGCAGAGCTTGATAATTTAAAATTAGAAACGACTACTAGAGGTTTGAGATTTACATGTTGAATACGGGAAGAATGCATAGAATGTGAAACATGATCAATATCTACTTCAGTAGAGGGAAGTTCGGCAGAGTCTAAGACATTTAGAGAGGAAGATCCTCCAATATGCAAATTTTTCATTTTGCTAAGTAGAGAATTAGCAAATTCTTCACTTTTAGCAGAGCATGATAATTTAAAATTAGAAATGGCTACTAGAGGTTTGAGATTTACATGTTGAATACGGGAAGAATGCATAGAATGTGGTTGTGGAATATTATTTGTATACCCATGATAAACAAGCTTATTCTAAATTAGGACCAGATCGTTTTTATTAGCCTAGTCCTACTCCACAAGACATATTGGCCTTGTTTGGTTTGTTTTTGAGAAAAAAATTTTGGAGAAAAATTTTCAAAATTTTGTTTGGTTTAGTAATTTTGAAAAAAAAAAATCCAAAAATCCAAAACAACAAATTTCAACTATATCTAATCAACAAAAGAATAAAGCAAGAATTGAAGAAGTACATGAAGACTACTTCTAAAATCAGTACCTCATGTTATTAAACCAAATCACATACCAAAAATGGTATATCAAAATCACACTTGTTATTGATAATAGATTTGTCAGGAAAGATGCAATAGCTCTAGTTGATAGTTGAGCTGATATGAATTGCATTCAAGGTCTTATACCTTCTGAATATTTTGAAAAAACCACTCAGTCGCTAACCAGTGCAAGTGGAACTAGAATGATAATTAAGTATAAATTATTCGAAGTTCTTATATGTAATCAAGGTTTCGTAATATGTCTCAAACCTTGATTTTAGGAACACCATTTTTATGTCTTTTTATGCCTATTGAAAAAATTGACTCCGAAGGCATCCATACTACCATCAGTAATCAACCAATTGTTTTTGAATTTATTACTGAACCATATACCAAGGAATTGGATCAAATAAAAGACTTGGTAGTTTTTAAAGAAAAACAATTAAATTTCTTACAAAAAGAAATATCTATTCTCAGTATTGAACAAAAACTTCAACAACCTTCTTTACAGAATAAAATCAAAATAATTGCATCTGAATTTCAATATGAAATTTGTAGTGATATTCCCAATGCTTTTTGGGATAGGAAGAAACATAATGTTACTCTTCCTTATGAATCTGATTTTAATGAAAAATATATTCCAACTAAAGCAAGACCAGCTCAAATGAAAAAGGAATATATGGAATTATGTAAGACTGAAATTTCTAATCTTCTTCAGAAAAAATTGATCCGAAAAAGTTATTCTCCATGGAGTTGCACCGCTTTTTATGTTAACAAAAATGCTGAAAAAGAACGCGGAACTCCTAGACTTGTTATAAATTATAAACATCTTAATGATGCTCTTAAATGGATTAGATATCCTATTCCATATAAAAAAGATCTTTTAGACAGTCTTCAGGATGCTGTTATTTTTTCCAAATTTGATCTTACATCAGAATATAGGCAAATACAAATTGCTGAACAAGATAGGTATAAAACTGCTTTCACATATACCTTTGAACATTATGAATGGAATGTTATGCCATTCGGATTGAAGAATGCTCCATCTGAATTTTAGAATATTATGAATGATATTTTTATCCCTTATTCTGAATTTTCTATATGTTATATAGATGATGTTCTTATTTATTCTTCATCTATCGAACAACACATTAAACATCTTAATATTTTTAAGAATGTTATTATTAAAAATGGACTTGCAGTCTCAGCTCCGAAGATGAAAGTTTTTCAAACAAAAGTAAGATTTCTTGGCCATAACATTCATAATGGCACAATCATTCCTATTGACTGTAGTATCGAGTTTGTATCTAAATTTCCGGATGAAATTAAGGATAAAACTCAACTACAACGCTTTCTTGGTTGTTTAAATTATATTGCAGATTACTATCAAAATTTAGCCACAGGTGCTGCTATCCTTTATCCAAGATTAAAAAAGAATCCCGAAACTTGGTCATCTGAACATACCAAAGCTATACAGAAAATTAAGCTTAGAGTTAAATAATTACCCTGTTTAGCTATTCCTAACCCTAATTGGAAGAAAATTGTTGAAACAGATGCTTCTGATAGAGGTTATGGAGGAATACTTAAACAGTATAATCCGAATACTTCAAAAGAAGAATTAATTTCCTTGATATATGGTTCAATAATAAATTCAAAAACAATTGGTTGATTACTAATAGTAGAATGGATTCCTTCCGTGTCAATTCTTGCTTTATTCTTTTGTTGATTAGATATAGCAGAAATTTGTTGTTTTCTTTGAATTAATTCCAAATTATGCTGATGTTGATGAGTTTTTAACTCTTTGATTTCTGTTTTAAGTAGGTTAACTTCTCTATAGATATCGTTGAAAGTTACCAGGCATTTCAGGTTTAGGAGTAATATGTTCAAGACGTGACTTAAAACTGTAATGACTGGGCTGCATATTGTCTTCAAAGGACTGCTCATGTGTCTTCTGGTAGCAAACTTCAAGCATTTTTAGCTTTAAATTGGGATCTTTAATTTGATCAATGAGATCTAAAACAGATTTGTTCATCAGTGAGAACATTAATATTGGGGTCGGTTGAAAGACCACTCACTTCTACAATAGCTATCCAATTATTAGATTCAGTGTTAAGATTGCAACATCCATTGCTACAACCTTCCTGCTCTGGTTCTTCATAAGTAGATGTATCACTGTCAGAATATAATTATGCCAGATTCTCACTATCTTGATCGGAATCAGAATCAGAATCAGAATCAGAAGAAGTCATTAAAATCTCATAAAATTGAGCTTTTAATTCTTCATCAAGTTTAACGGCATTAATTTTTTGCTTTGTTCTGCATTTATTAGCATAGTGGCCGAATTTACCACACTTGCAACATTTTGCTAAGGATTTATTTTTCTTTCTGAAAGTTGTTTTTGCAGAATTAGTAACTTGTTTATCAGTGGTATTCTGACTAAAAGAAGGCTTTTTCTTAGAAAAATACTTTTTTTTCTTTTTATAAGTAGATTTATAATCTTTTAACTTTCTTGATTTTTTATTGGGCCAAGATCACCGCCATATAAGAAAGCAAGAATCTTAACAACATGAAGATAGACGAACTTATAGGATCTCTTCAAACCTATGAATTAACATATATCCAAGGAAAGCTAGTGGTAGCTCAAGTAGAGCCACAGCTTGCAAGGCTAGAAAGGATGAGAGTGTTGGTTCTGAAGATGAGATGAAATAGGTGATGAATATCTAGCCCTCTTTGCCAAGAAGTTCAAGAAGATTTTAAGTTCAAGAAAGGTCCTATTTTCACTAAGGGCAAGAAGTCTAGAGAATAAAGCAAACCAATTCAATTTAGGACAGTGTTTCAAAAAGGGTAACAAGGATTTCTAAAAGTGTTGAGAAATTTAGAAGTTAGATTTGGTAGTGTTTGGTAAGTTGTCATTCCATCAGTGAGAATTGCGGGCCCCGCACGAGGTTGGTTCCTCATAGTCCATTGATCTAGAAAACCATGAATATGACATTAGGGACTTGAGTGGTCGCTTAGAAGCTTAGGACCCAGGTTAAGGATAAGTATTCCTTGATTGTCAAATAGTGTTGATTTTGTCCTTCAGTTTTGGATTACTTAAACAATTTATTCTTACATATGTAATTTAAGTTAAATATAGATTCTGGTATCATTCTTGCTATGATTAATACAAAAATTAAAAATTAGATGATCACTCTTGCATGTAGTTTACATGTTTCAAAAGTTATAGATGATTATTAGTAAGTCATTGTCTTTGCTCACTCCCTACATTTTTAGGCACATCTCCACCACTGGCATGGATTTTGGCAGCATTGTCACCTAGCTATAAAGCATAGACACGGACACGGACACGGATACGGATACGACACGAACAGTTGACACGGAAATATTCCAAAAAAGTAGGACTCAGACACGTTTCAGACACGCAACAAATATAGTGGTTGTTTGGGATGATCCAAATAAGCATACTTTTTTACTTTTTACGAAAAGTTGTGCAATGTGGTAAAGAGGTGATGTGACCCTAATAAGATAAAAAGATGATCTAAAGTAGATCACCCTAAACAACCCCCTATTATATTATATAGTTATATATGCAAACAAATTTAGTAATTACTTTTTACTAAGTGAATCATGTATCTAATTCATTTACATGAATTTTTAAACTACAGCAAACATATAATTGTGACATTTGGCTTAACATCCTTAGCCATCTACTAATAAATATACATATCGTTTTCATTATTCATTTAATTTTTTGGGAAACTTCTATAAAATCATCTATATCTATATCTATACTATTATATATGTCAAGGCTTTTAATGTTGTTGACGTCTCATATTTTTGGTTTTCCAAAAATGCCCCTATAGTTGGTGTCTCATGTAAAAATTATAATAAGAGGATAGGACTCGAAACAGGGATCATGGCACTTGAACAACACATACTATGTGTGAATTTTTCCATCATTATTCTTATAATATTATTTTTTTAGAATTGCACATATCGCGTGTGTGGTCCAGTTCTTAATAATTATACATTTTTTTTAAGAATATAAGATGTTAACGTCAAATTCTCAAACTTTGAAAGTCATATGCTAGCAAATATTGAAGAGTGTCGGTCTCACATTTATTTTTTTGATGATAGACATGGCCAAGAAATGACAGACATGATCAAGAAATGACGGACATCACAAAATGAGTGTCGAACACGTGCCCAAAAATAAGATTTTTATTTTTAATTAAGAACATGGAACAAAGAGTATTGAATACGTGTCCAAGGAGTGTCGTTGTCCAAGTGTTCGGACACGTACCATTTTTAGAAGTGTCAATGTTTGTTGGCCACCTAGTTATATTTTTCTATGGATTGATACTGATTTATACAATTCATATGTATGCCGCTTTTGAGTTTTGTATGTATTTGAGGCTTGACATGTAATCTATCTAATATTCTTTTTGGACTTGTAGTGTTAGTACGCAAATATTTAAGTTTTGGGAATTGTGGGCTTACTCATAGCTTTTGAAGCCTACATGTGGAAGTATAATTTTGTAACCGGACTTGAACTATCCTTGATATTTTAGCATTTTATCCCAAGTAATTGATATGCAATTCAACACAACACTTAACTTTTATTCAAATCTGCCTATTATTTATTTTTGCCAATTATTAAACGTTTTCAGCGTTGTTTATCCCCCAATAACCACAATTTTTTCAAAATGTCCAAGTCTTAAGTGGAGTCCCTTAGATTCTAGAGTTGATCAGGAACAACTCCACGACAATTAATTTACGGCCACTTTTCAATAATAATGAAAACCAGACATATTTATATTAATTCGGATTTGTTGTGCTTAGTTCATGCATTACAATTCAAATAACTGGTTTAAGTGACCTTAAGTGTTACACTTAGCGATAATCCACTGAGATTAGAAACTGGGGCGTGGCACATTGTCTCTTCTTTCAACAATCCTACATCTATACCATTAGTCTGTCATTCACCACTTCTAGTGCTAACAGCTAGAAACATCTAAGGGTGCCTGCTTTAATTTCATTCAGTCATACATATCCTTCCAAAAAATTACAACATAAAGAAAGAAAAGCTTACTAGTAGGTGATCCAAACGAGTTCCTTTTGGCAGAGATAAACCTTCAAAGCCACCACTTATCATGTCAACAAGTCTGGTATCATGCTGCAACAAATGATCATCTAAGATTAAAAGCAAACAAATGGTTTGCAATATAACCAACCGATATACGAAAAATGAATAAATTACAACTACACCACCTGAGGATTCTTTAAAATACGGATTGCCCCTGTGATTCTAGAAATTACACCTTGCTACTATGAAGCATGGACACTCCAAAATCGGTGCCGTGGCGGTGTCCGACACGCGGACACGCTGGGGACACGGGGACACACTGGGGACACGTACAGGACACGTCATTTGGCGTGTCCCTTTAATTTAATGAATTTTTTTGTCTAGGACACAGCGGGGACACGTGTCCATGTCGGGACACGGCATGGGACACGTACAGGACATGTCATTTGGCGTGTCCCCTCTCTCTCTCTCTCGTTTTTATCTTTCTCGATTCATATATATATATATACAAGAGGTGTGATCTGAGTTGGAGTTTAACTATTATATAACAACTATTATATAATATATAATAATAGTTATTATATAACATATAATATACTCATAAGATAATATATAATACATATTATAAGATAATACATACTTATACATATTAATAAAAATAAATAAACACACGCATTTATTTAAAATAAAATAAAAAAATTAATTGGAACACATTATTTAAAAAATATAATAAATAAATAAAATAATTAATGTGTATTAAAATAAAAATATTTATAAAAAAAATTAAAAAAATTTCTGTGTCCCCTGCCGTGTTTGTGTCCCCATTTTTTAGAAATTGCCGTGTCTCGTGTCCATGCGAAAAATAAAAATGCTAATTACCTCTTGTACAACAATAAAATTACCAAATTTGTTAATTGAAATATATATCTGACATCATTAAAAACTGTTGGTTGACATAATGATTTATTAATAAAAGGGGTTATTTGTTATGCAATTAGAAAATTTGAAGGAGCAGGATGTAATTTCCAAAACTACAAGTGTCAATCGTATTTTAGCAAACCTCAAGGAATGTATTTGTAATTACCAATTAAAAATTTAAGGTAATTTAGATAACAAAAAAAACTAAATCATTGGTATTATATTCTTGATACAGAGCTTAAGTCAAAAGCATATATACCCTAGACTATTGCACAGATAACATTTGGCAAAAAATCAAAAAACACACTCAAATTATGTGGACTGCAAAATGTTATAAAGAAATACAGATAAATAAATCACTGCAAAGAAAAAACTTAATAAGTTGTTCATCAAAATCATTGAAATCTGTCCAAAAAAATGCATATTCATCAACACCACCCATCAAATAAGTACGGGTCAAATTAAAAAATCTCACACCAGTATCACACATTTTGGGTGTACATGCCAATGGATGGCAAGAAAGTTCGTAGCTAGATGGTGTGTGATCCACCGCATATGGGGCTTCAACTGAGCTATCATTTGGCACAGTGGGTGTTGGGAGTGACTCCCCTCGAGAGTCCATCCTCTCCATACCCCTCAAGATTCCACTTTATGGGGGTCCACTGGGGTCCACAACGGTGACCGAACTGTTCAACTTGTAGTCCTCAAAGAGAATAACATATATGCAAAAAAATTAGCTTGATCAAACATTGATAGACACACTAACTAAAATGAATGGTTTTAGTTAACATTGATTTCATAAAACAAAACACGATTAGTTCATGTGACTAAAGATGTTCGATCAAACTAATCTTCTACATATACATTCTTCTGTTCGACGCCTACCAAAAGAATGGTTCGGATTGCCATTATGGATCCCGCAGAACGCACGAAGTGGAGTCATGTGGGGAATGAAAATGACAGAGTCCTGAGGGGATATGGTCCCGTGGTGTTTGGTACAAATAAAAGACTGATATCATTTAACGGTGGAAGAGCAACAAGTCGTGATGCCTGGCTGAGATTATCTGATAATAGAATGGACGTGAACTGATAGCTCCAGTGTGAAGTTTCAGTAATATTTCAAAATTCCGGAACCATTATCGAAATCAAGTCAACATAAGTTCAAAGTCAAGTCAACAACATTTTTGAAATCCATATAAGTAGAATACAAAAGATGAACAACTCACTGAAGAAGTAAACTGAAACCATTGACATTCTCAAATCAATATTCAAAAGATTCTAAAGTCTAAAAAAATAAAAAATAAAAATATTCTAAGGTTCAATTAACTATAAAATGAGTGCCTTTCAACTAGAATTTATGCATACCTGCATAGGACCAGAAGACAGCACAAAAGCATTGAAGTAATATCTCTTAAAATAGTTTAAATCTTCACCACATATCCACCCAAAAGAAACCTGTACAAATGAATGGTATATCAAACTCTACTTGTCAAATACATACATATATGTATATATAACATATCATACTCTCAAATATTTGACTCCCAAAATTAGAAACAAATTTCTACTTTTATGAGATAGGATTGTCAAACAAGCCTGAAAACAAAAGACAACAGGAAAAAGAGTCTCCTAAAGATTTGCGTCTTATGAAGGAAACTCAAAAAAAAAAAAAAAAAAAAAAATTGCTTATCAAAAAACACTAAAGCCATCTTGGCAATGGCATCAAACAAAAGACTCCTATGCCAGACACTTGTGGCATATACAGACATTAATGATCGGGTGCTTCTGTGAATATTGAATGAATAAAGGGAATTGAGAACTATAAAATAATTTCTATGAAAATTGGGGAACAAAGAATTTTCTTTCGTATAGCTTCTCTTGCAATTTTTATTATGCCTTTTTTAAATGATACAAAGAAAAGATAGATTTGATCAGTTGATTCTATTTTACATATAGAATAAATTTAGCACAATGTTCCATACTATGTTACATAGACTTTTCAAAACAAATCAAATACCCATGTCGGACACCTAACACACTTGGACAAAGGTATGGGATATGTGTCCGATACTTTCCCGCAAACACTTACATGTTTGTATTTAACACGAACATTATATGTATATATTGTTGTAATAAAATAATTGATATTTAAAGTATTTCTGATACTATATGTTACAAATAACACCATTTCATCTAACCTAATATATTAAAACTACAAAAATATTTCCCACACCGCCGCCCACTCCAGTTTCACATAGTCCACAGCCATTGCTTGATCTTTTAATGATTGGAATATGAGGGACAGAAACGCCACCTCCAGCTTCTCCTCACCACACCAAAGATGACTCCAAACTCACACCACGTATCCTTTCCAAATCGCAAAACGAGCATTGTTCATGAAATATGCCAACTCTCATGTATACCTTACAACAAGACTACACCATGCAACACGAATACCTCCAAAGAGGACCAATCCCTCATGTAACTATATTTCACATGCACCAATCTAACCCACTATTGGTCCCTCTTACAACTTACAAGCGTATCTCCACAATCGCTTCCAACGGAGGGCTTGGTCAAAGATAAACAGAGGGTGAATAAGCCCTATTGTCGCCCTGTCAGATAGGAGACCAAAGAATGTCCTAATTCATCAAGAGACACTTGAACTCCTCGCCACAAGAAATCCCTTTACACCTTTTCCAGCCTTTTCACAACTGAAATTAGGGTAGTAAACACAGGCATAAATTAAAGTGGGCATGCTTGGAAGAGTGCCCTTCATCAACATAGAGTATGGTACCTACTTTTCTAAAAACTTTCAACAATGGAATCCCAAACATGCCTCGCTACAAAAGATGCCCCTAACTGTTTGGATTATGTCCTCTAGGACCAAGGAATGTGAATAGCCATTATTCTCTAGTGCTAGCCAACATATTGATTAAATGGCATTGTCATTAATGAAGAGGTTCTTAGCCACCTTGTGCCATTTACTATAATGCATTGAAAAATGGTTTTGTCCAACTTATTTGGGTAGCATATAGTACAAGGGAGCTGCCTAATGATCTTTCATTGCATTTGTAGAAGCATTTTGTATACTTAGGTATTTCTGAAGTCTACGAACATTGGAACCTAGAACCTAGCATAAAAACAATGTCCGATTAGTATACATTAATGTGTGTATAGAAGGGGAAAGATCGAGTAGACACCTAACCTTTGACATAATGCACAAAGTGGTGGTCCCAAGACTTGAAACCGTAACCTCAAGGTTATTAGGCCAAATCTCAACCATTGAACCAATGGTCACCCCTAACCTAGAACCTAGCATCAAGTCCTTAAAAAATGTAAAGCTCATGCTTCAGTTTAAGGGCCATAGCTTGGGGAAGAATGGAAGAGGGCATAACAGGCTTAATAGAATTCACGTGGCTTCTACATTAAAAGCCAGCCTAGGGAAGTGCCTCAACTAGCTATATATGTGTGTGCCCTGATACGTGATGGGTTAAATCCAAAAAAAATGGCAAAAGAAAACATCAATACAATACTGCTAAATGTGTAAATAGTGGTCTGTGAGATCGGAAGCAATAATAGTGAAACGAGTGGGAAAACATCATGGAGAGTATTGTCTCACCATTTGAAATTTCTATTGTTTGTAGATTGTTCTCTTTTGCTCACACACAAGCATTTTTGTAGAACCATATAAATTGTGTTCCTCTGTTTTCTCTGTCTATTTTTATTTTTCACTACTTCAATCGAGTGGGCGGGTTTATTCCCAATACTAATGACAGACCCAACATCCCAGTAGAAACTATATCACCCAATCAATGACATACCCAACTAGCATTTAGTCAAAACTTCCCAAGATTCAAACACATGCCAAGAACATCATCAAAGTAAAGAGCATATACACCGATGGTAACCTCCTTGATGCACATCAACTCCATAAAAAATAAAATTATCATCAGCGTACAATAAATGGGACACAAATCTGGCGCATCAGCGCTATGATAACCTACCTTGTTAATCATGTTGTGTAGTTTTAGAGAAGAGAAAGAGTTAGGGAATGAGTTAGACTTCATCTCCTTTTATATTGATAATAATGAGTAATTACAAGAGTGCCATAAGGCACAATTTATGGGCCAACCCATTACACCAATCAAGAGAAATAAAATGAGAATAAAATACAACCAATATTATTTCCTATTCTAACACTCCCCCTCAAGCTGGTGTGAAGATATCTCCCATGCCCAGCTTGTTGAGAATGCCATGAAATGGTTTGCTCCGTAGTCCCTTGGTGAGAACATCGGCTAGTTGGTTCTCAGTCTTCACAAATGGAATACATATGGTGCCACTAGTGAGTTTTTCCTTGATGAAGTGCCTATCAATCTCCACATGCTTAGTTCTATCATGTTGAACTGGATTATGAGTTATGTTGATTGCGGCCTTGTTGTCACAATATAGTTTCATGGAGTCGATCTAATGGATCCCCAATTCTCCCAACAATAGTTTAATCCATAGCAACTCACATACATCCTAAGCCATAGCCCTGAATTCTGCCTCAGCACTAGATCTAGCAACCACATTATATTTTTTACTTCGCCATGTGACTAGATTGCCACCAACAAATGTGCAGTATTCGGAAGTTGATCCAGTCCAATCTGCATCAGTAAACACCTCCACACCGAGATATCCATGTTTTGAGAAATAGAGAACCTTTCTAGGAGAAGACTTCAGGTATCTCAAGATTCTCATAACTGCCTCTAAGTGGGAAGTTCTAGGAGCGTGCATAAACTGGCTAATCATGTTCACTGCAATGGCAATGTCTGGACGTGAGTGGGATAAGTATATGAGCTTGCCCATTAGTCTCTGGTATCTCCCCCTGTCCACTGGCTCTCCCTCTTGATCCTCACTTAGTTTCTGGCATGGTTCTAGAAGTGTATCACATGGTCTACCTCCAAAAATTCCAGTTTCCTTTAGCAAGTCAAGTACATACTTTCTCTAACTTATGGAAAATGCCATCCTTGATCCTAGCTACTTCAATGCCCAAGAAATACTTCAAACTACCCAAGTCTTTAATTTCAAACTCCTTGGCTAAGTATTCCTTCAACTGAGAAATCTCCTCAACGTCATCCCCTGTCATAACAATATCATCAACATAAACAATAAGAGCTGTGGTCTTACCATGTAAAGAGTGTTTCACAAACAAGGTGTGATCAGCTTGACTTTGCTTGAACCCATATTTCAACATAGCTTGAGCAAACCTTTCAAACCAAGCCCTAGGAGACTACTTTAGCCCATAAAGCGACTTTCGAAGCCTGCATACTTTACCTTTGGATTTAGCATCTACCAAACCAGGGGGGATATCCATATAAACCTCTTCTGCTAGGTCTCTATGAAAGAAGGCATTCTTCACATCAAATTGATGAAGTGGCCAATCCAAATTTGCAACAAGAGAGTAAGATTCTCACAGAGTTCATCTTAGCAACCGGTGCAAATGTCTCCTGGTAATCTACCTCATAAATCTAAGCGACACCATTAGCAACCAATCTTGCTTTGTACCATTCTATGGAACCATCTACTTTGTGTTTTACCGTGTACACCTACTTACACCCAACTAGATTTTTGCCTCTAGGTAACTCCACGAACTCCCAAGTGCCACTCTTGCTGAGAGCTCTTATATCTTTCATCATGGCATGTTTCCATTCAGGAATAGAGAGAACATCCTAAAAATTGGTAGATAGACTCACAGAAGGCACTTTAGACAAAAAGGTTTTATATGAGGAAGACAGATTAGAATAGGGGTGCAACTCGGGCGGGTTCGGTCGGGTTGAGAGGTTGTCCAAGCCCAGCCCAAGTTGTGCTGAGACTTGCCCAAGCCCGCCCAAGCACGAATTGTAACCCGAGGTTGTCTGCCCAAGCCCGACCCGAGTTAAACCCAAATTGCCCGAGTTGCCCAAATTGCCCGAATTGTAAATGAATTTCAGTTTTTTTTTTCCCAGCTACATTATTAAATTATTAAAATTTGACTCTATTTACAATTTTTTTTAAAAAAATTGAAAATCATTAATACCATCAAAACAAATAATTTATATAATGTAAGAAAGATGCCACTATAGTAGTCCTTACAATTTATGAGTAAAAATAAAAAGAAAAAAAAAAAGATTTTATGTTATTTATATATATAATATATATTCAATATGATTTAATAATATAAATTATTTTAATATCAGGTAATGGCTAATAATTTATATATATATGTATATATATTTAATATTTTTATATATCTATATATGTATAATTCGGGCTTCGGGTTGCTCGGGTTGCTTGACGTCTTTGCCCAAGCCCGCCCAAATTTAATTCGGGCTTTTGAATTTTTGCCCAAGCCCGTACCGAATTTAAAAATATTTTGTCCAAGCCCTAAAAAAATTCAGGCTGGGCTCGGGTTGCTCGGGTTGAGCCCGCCC